CTCCCTCCCTCCTCTACTAACAGTCAATAACTTGGTACTGCCAAGCGACTGAGAACATTGTTAATTGTACAGGTCTGAGATTTTATCTCTACAGATAATGTTTATTACAGCTATTTTAATTAAGCTTTTATTGCCATGGACTTTATTTTATGGTCTACACAGATAAGCAAGTAATTGGAGAAAATGAATCTTTTCCTTTTGAGGAGACAAAGTACAGTTACCTCAGCCCAAATACTGTAGACACATGGACGGCATGCAGCCATGGTCAGAACACAGTGCTTGGCTCTAGAAGATCTACTACCCTTCCTTGTCCCTGGAGAGGGACGTATCATTTGCAGGAAAGCCACCATTCTGATTAACCAGAAGAGTTCATTTTAAGCCAGGGAGTTCATCCACAGGCAAGTTTAGAACAGCTCTCCAAGTGATTGAGAAGTCAGAACACAGCCTCTTCATTTATTCAAGACTGCTTCATTGTCCTGCAGCCCAGCCTCTGGGAAGAGTACCACTTCATTCTGTGTCCCCTGGCTGTTGGTCAGGAGGCAATCCTCAAATTGTATTTTCTAGAGCTTTAAAGCTTGTTGGACAAGCCCTAAGGCTTTTCAGGTATCAAGCACCCATCAACTACAGGATCCAGAACAGCAACTGTACTTCAGGATAGACCTTGTGGCTTGCCGCATTGGAGGGGCCATGTCCATTACAGATGGGAAGTGGAAAACAAGTGAGAACATAAGGGAAGCCAGCCAAAAGCTAGTAACCAGAGGGAAACAGAATAAGGAGGAAGATTCCAAACCAGAAGGTGGTTAGGCTTCGAATACATTTGGACAGGCCTGTCCAAAAGGTTGTTGAAAGGGCTCCAGGGGTGATAGCACATGTAGGATGCAGAGAAGTATTTGATTCCTTCACCCCCTGTAACAGCCCTTCAGCAGGTCACTTACAGCTGGTGCACAGTCAGTAGGAAGCATGTCCTATTTGTGTACCACTGGGCTACTTCTCATAGCACCAAGTGACTTTGCTCTTTAACTTTGTGGACCACATTCCTGTTTGCACTACAGATAGGGAGTTGTACTGACAGACACCAAGGAAGAGGAGGACCTTTCACACATTACAAGAGGTTAGCTATCATCTCTAGGCAAGCATTTCTCCATGGATTAGCAAGTACACTTGCCAGACCTGTATCTTGCCTGTACCAACCACACTGGAGAACAGCTAAGTTCTGACCACAGTCAAAACACAAACCTTTGGTGAGGTTTTGTGCTGTCAGAAGTGGGGAGGGAAGGGTTTTTACCCTCACATCTTCTATTTTCGCACATATTAGACTATTATTCACTAACTTTGAAAAGCCTCAGAGGGGTAAGAAGTCATCCCCAGTGGGGCAATCAGACCAGAACTGTCAACAGTTACGCTGGTGATGTGTATCTGGCATGCTGTATTTTGCAATTCTCTGAAAGTAGATCAGTGAGTTTGTTTCAGTTATGTTTTACAGCCATCTTATCCAAACATCTCAGCAATAACCATTTAAAATCCTTGTACTATGGAATCTGCTCTTGTGGCAGCAGTTTTAGTGCTAAAGTGTGAGGAAGTTGAGAAGCAGCCAATCTGCAGCTCTGCTTAGCTTTTGCAGGAGTTAGCTCCTATCCTGAAACCAACATTCCCAGACCCCCTCCTTGTGCATAGTATCTAGAGTCAGTCTCCCCCCAAAAAAGCTTGCATAGGACCTGAAGCCAGCTCACCGGATGAACATCAAGGAAGAGGCCATGCTGCTCTTTGTTGGGATGTAATCCATCAACGGCTTCCAGCAAGACAGGGTCAGCATTGTAGAAGTGCGGATGGGATATGAACACTGGTGCATCTGAACAGAGTTAAGAGACTTTAGGGGGCGGGCATAAGCATGCTTATTTAGGAGGTGTTAGCCAGCTAAACAATGAAACCTGATTCTGGAGAATCTACTTTTCCCTTCAGGCCACCACCTCATTCCCTAGACTTGGGCAGAATGAAATCAGCCCTAAGCCTGCTTTGGCAGATGAGCATGAAGGAAGATTTCCATACCTCCTGAAGGCTTATTCCTCTGATTAGTAAAGCTTACAAGTTTCTTAATACTTAACCTACTTTTTCAGTGCTGCAGCTTAATCTAATTACCTCTCACTGTCCATGCTGATTTTATAACTCACTCATCCGGGTCCTTATGCCTTGGGAGACTGAAACCAGAGCCTTCACAGGAGATTTAACGTTTTAAGACCATCTGTTCCCAGAGTAACAGCTCAATGAGTGATATTGGCTTCACTTCAGCTCCATCACATCCTTGGGTACTTGTATACTCCCAGCTAGTGATTGTTTTCATAGCTCTAGCACAGTTAACCAACTCAGTGTGTAGCCAATTAGCAGGAGCAGAGTCAAAACAGTTAAGTCCCATCATGGCTATGAGGTTCAGCCCACCAGCCCCTCTGTTGCCAGGGCTGCTGCAGCCCCGTGTGGCTGACTTCAGGCAGGTTTAACTGTCAAGCGTTAATTGGGTAAGCACAAGGCTTATGTTATGCTTACCATTAGCCATCCACTAGCATGTATCTCTTCACAATTGTGTTTCGCTATTTCACCTCCCTGCGAGGTTACAGATTTACAACTTGAAAGTAATTTAAAATTTTTCTGCAGGATTTAGGTCTTATCCTAATCCTCTGGAAATACTCAGGCTAGACAAAAGTCCTTCATTGTATCCTATGAACCCAAGCCATCTCTGTACACTGCACAAGCCAAGAGTAAATGGCTTGGTTCTAGAGGACAACAGTCACTGGATTGCTATGATCCACATATTAGCCATTTTAAAGACAGATTGCATGGGCTGCCAGAAGTGGTGTGTCTAAAGGTCACTGTACAACTTTTGAGGAGCTGTGTACATCTCAATTTAACTGTTGCATATATTCCTTGAGCTTATCACTACCTTACTCAAGGCAACAGCCTAGAACAAGGTGCAGTTAAAAAAAGCCATAGAATTCGAATTCTATCCATTTTGTAAGTTAGTAGAGCAATGGCACAACTGATGACAGCAAAAATAGCCCAAATATTTTGCCACCTATTTTCAAATGAAGTTCTGTAAATCTCAATGTGGTAATTCTAGAGTGACAGTCTCCTAAAAGCAGTTCTTGATTTGCTTGCTTTAAGCTTCCCTCTTCTCTGCCTCCTTATACCTTACCTGATTTGCATGGGTAAAACCACCAGTGTCATAATGCCTCAAGCATGTTGTCATTTGTAACTAATTAGTTGCGCTGCTCAAGCCAGTGGTTTCCAAGCTAAGGGCACAACTCATTACTGGGTCACAATGTCAGACACTGGTCTCATTGCTGCAGGGTAATTAGCAAGGGTGCTAAGGCAGGTACCTGCCTGTCCTGGCACCACAGACTGTGCTATGCCCCAGAAGTGGCCAGCAAAAGGTCCAGCTCTGGGAAAGGCAGGT